CGTGATTATGCGTGATTGTGTCTGTGATTGTATGCAATTGTACACGAATGTACGGTTTATTTTTAAATATGCGTGCTGCCAAGGGATCTGATTTAGCCCATCCGTCATCGGGCTTTAAATTAATTGAACATGATATACAATATAGCAATACAATATACAATTTTGAACTATATAATTGAAAGCCCGATAAGTATTGATCAAAAAGGCTGGATAAGATAAGTAATCAATAATATACTTAAAAATAAATTTAAATTTTGTTTTAGGTGACTTTGAGTAAACAAAGGCAATTTTTTAAGTATATTCTCGTAGATTTAAATCGCAAAAATGACTCTTAAAATTACGCATAGTTTATCTTACTCATGATAGTTATAGCAAATAAGAAATTGTAAATTCCTATACATAAGTGAACATTTAGTATAAAAAACAAAAAAAAAGACACACGCACTTCAAATATATAACAAATGGCATTGTATAAAAATCCGTTTAAGGAAACTTCAGGTCGAAAAATGTTGATTAATAATAATATACAAAAGTAAATTTTATTTATTTCGTTATAATAAAAATTCTATAAAACCTATTATCGCGGTTTGCAAATTGATGTACTATATTTTGCGGTTTAAACCACCCTTTCTGTAAAAAAAAAACTTAATGGTTTATAAGGATATTTCTAGGTATGGGATTTTCTAGTTAATAGGAATTGTTAAATTAATAAATATTTTTGAGCAATTAATAATTGAATTACCTAAATGCATAGAAAGTAACGGTAGAATGTTATTATTAGCAGTTAAATATATTTTAATCAATTCAATACATACTTTACAATATTATACTGGTGAATAATATCGATAGTTAAATATTCGATTCAAATAATAATAAGATATAAAACGTATAAAATTATTGGTTGTTTTATTTTTGACAAGGAAGTTCTACGCATTTGAGGAATTTATTAATTATAGAGAGTCCAAAAATATGCGTTTGCATAATGGGCACATAAAATGTATTGTTATTATTTGTATGAGATTTATGCAGCATTTGCGTGAGCATTTGAAACGAATAATAAAAACATATGTATATAACTGTTAAATTTCTTTTTACATCTTAAATTTATAATTATCGCATTATACAATGATAGATCAAAATATAACAATACGAAATATGTACGTACCAGGGCCTCCGGACGTTAATAGAAAAATAATTAGCAAAAATAGCTAGTGAAATTAGCAAATTTAGTAAACTTGTTATATTTATTAAGTATAAATTTTAATGGAATCACATTTAGAGATTGTAATCGAACCTTTAATTCGTTGAATATTCGAATTAATTCGATTTAAATTTATATTCGAACTGAATTCGAATATTCATTTATAAATATCACGTGAAAAATATATGCAAGATATGCAATATAGCCGTTAAACATATCAGTCACACGATTTTTCACACATATTTGATAGTAAATTTTTTATATATCAGATATAAAATTATAGTAAAAAACATATAGAATTACATACAAACTTTGTTGCGATGATGTTTTTCAATTTACATATTAACTTTAAATTAAATTTTACAAATAAATATATCATAAAAAGGAGAATAAAATGCTTTCTAAATCAAATTAAAATTTTGCAATTTTGATATAATTTGAAAATGTAAATCAACCAAAAGAAAAAATTTAACAGTTTTAAAATAAGAAATATATGTAAAATTATACTCTGAACAACTTTCTGTTAGGGAGTAAAAAAGCTTATCTTAGTAAAAAAAAAAAAGTTAGCTATGTTTAATGTCAAAATTTTCAGTTTTCTATGTAAAACTTTTTTTTCTACTTAGATAACCTGTTCTAACCTCTTAAGCAAATTTGTTCAGCACATAATTCTACATATTTTATATCTTACTGATTTTGCTTTTTCACACTTTTTACTAAGTGAAAGATTAGATCAAAGGGTACACAAAAATTTTTTTTTAAAAAATTTTTTTAAAAAAATTTTTTGTATAATCTTTGATCTAATTTTTCACTTAGTAAAAAGTGTGAAAAAGCAAAATTAGCAAGATATAAAGTATGTAGAATTATGTGCTAAACAAATTTGCTTAAGAGGTTAGAACAGGTTATCTAAGTAGAAAAAAAGTTTTACATAGAAAAACTAAAAATTTTGACATTAGTACATAGCAAACTTTTTTTTTACTAAGATAAGCTTTTTTACTCCCTAACAGAAAGTTGTTCAGAGTATAATTTTACATATATTTCTTACTTTAAAACTGTTAAATTTTTTCTTTTGGTTGATTTATATTTTCAAATTATATCAAATTGCAAAATTTTAATTTAGTTTAAAACACATTTTATTTTCTTTTTTTTGATATATTTATTTATAAAATTTAATTTAAAGTTAATATGTAAGTTGAAAAATATCATCACAACAAAGTTTATATATAATTTTATAGATTTTTTGCTATAATTTTATATATAAAAAAGTTAAATATGATATATTGTGTAACTGATATGCAATATAACTATTATAACTATTATAGTATAACTATTATAACCATTATAACTATTATAGCTATTATAACTATTCTAACCATTATAGCTATAGTTGGTGATAGAATTAATTTAGTAAATTAATATGGTAACAGTATATACCATATTATTTGCTATAATTCTGTAGTGCTATAATGCTATAATGTTATAATGCTATAATGATCTAGTATTACCAACCTAAAAAATTTTATTAAAAAAATTTGATGTTAGATTAAGATTAGGTTTTGCTATTAATTTAAATTAAAAGAACCTCAATAGTACCAAAATTTTATAATAAAAACTTTTTGTTAATACGCAGAAAGTAGTTTGGTTTTATAGACTGAATATTGAGTTATGGGTAATTTTTTGGTTTTGATTTTTTGTATTTTTTCTGTATCACACCTGATCTTGAAATCTGATTTGCTAGTAAAATTTTTTAGCTTGATAATGCTAAAAACTTTAATGATATTTCAACTATAAAATAAATTTACTAATTAGATTAAATATCTTTAGCCATAGATCTCTATCATTTTCTCAACAAACACTTTTTAAACAAACAAATCTTGACAAGAATTGACCATAACTAATACTAACCCTAATATAATACAAGCTAACTTGTTAGGATTTTGATATTGTTAGAGAAGTGGTTGTTAGAAAAATAATAGGATATGCATTTGATGTTTGTAAAGTTGTATATATACAAATTGTATATTATAGATATATTGTATATAGCTAAATAATTAAATATTTATTATCATTGGTGCTCAAATGATCAGCAATTAATAGAGCACTTTATCTGAAATACTATATTAGCAATAAGCTATAGGACTCATATATGACATGTTTGGCATTTTATAAAATTGGACTCTTTTAGCTACAATTGAAGAAATAATCACAGTACCCCATACCAGGGCTTTTCAACTTTATAAAATAGTTATTTGATTATATATCAAGGTAATATACAAAATTTGGGTCTAGTTTACTAACTATAAATAGATAACAACACAATATCAGAACTAGCATTACTATTCATATAAAGAGCCAAAATCACAAAAGAAATCCAAATAACCCTAAACAGCAAACTACTTAAGAAAAAAAAAATTGATATTTTAAAATATATATATAATATTAATAGTTAACTTTGTATAGGCATCCCTCTATACAATCACCTCTTATATAATCACAAATTCTATACAATTACACAAGTTCATCTGTCAGTCTATTTTATATTAAAAATATCTTTATACAATTACAATCGCATTACAATTACAATCACATTTTCTTAAAAATTTTTATACTGATTTATTAATAAAAATACCTCTTTACAATCACATAAAAAATTATATACATGATTAAATCACATGATTACAATTTTATTGGTTGGAAATATGTAACTATAATTGATTAGATAAATTTCTATAAATTTGCAAAAAAAAAATTTGTACGTATGTACGTAAATAGAAATTCTTACAATAATCAATCTTTTCTGTATTTAATTTTTACCTTGAACCAAATTTTGCAAATTCAAATTTTTTGCAAGCTAGTTTTTTTTTTTATAATTTATAGTCAAGTTTTATTGTACTTAAGTTATTATCTCAAGATTTTTATGGCTAAAGTTTCATTGCAAAAAAATTTTGCACACAAATTTTATTAAATTTTTGCAGTATTTAAACATTCTTGTAGTCAAGGTTAGGGCTTCGCAGTAACCAAAGTCAGGGTTTTGCTGTGGTCAAGATCAAGTTTTTGCTGTTATCAAGATTTTGCCATAGTCAAGATTTTGCCATAGTCAAGGTTTTGCCATAATCAAAGTTTCACTGTAATCAAAATTTTACCATAGTTAAAGTTTCGCCATAGTCAAAATCAAAATTTTACCATAGTCAAGGTCAAAATTTCACTATAATCAAGTCAGAGTTTCGTCATGGTTAGAGCCAGGGTTTTGCCATAGTCAGGGTTAGGGTTTCACCATAGTCTGAGTTAAAGTTTTACTATAATCAAGCTTTGTTTTGGTTAAGATTTAATCATGATTAATATTTTGTGTGAAGGAACTTTTTTTATTCTAATTATATAAAACTTTTAAAAAGTAATATCAAATAAAAGAACAAAAATGGCAGTCAATAATAGTTTAAAACATAAAATTTGCAAATATGGTGATAAGTTTTCAATTGAAACTTATTTAAATATTGCCAAATATTTTGATTAGTACTTTGCAAAATCAAATCAAATTTTGAATTTGATTCAAATATTTGAAATTATTTGATCAAATTTTTAATTAATTTGATCAAATAATTTCAAATATTTGATCAAATTCAAAATTTGATTTGATTTTGCAGAGTACTAATTTTGATCAAACAAATTCAAATTTGAATCTTGATTGCTCAACGATTTCAAAAATTTTAAAAGAAAAAAAATATGGTTAGCGATCAACAATAACAATGCAAATATAACAATTTTTTATCATAAAAAGATTAAGTTTCTATTACTAGATAAGGCTATGCAGCTTTGGGTTGAACAGGTTATAGGTGGTCAAATGTTTTTGACAGATTTAATTATTAAAGAAAAGGCTGCATTTTTTGCTTGGGCATTAGATTTACCAGACAGTGTATTAAAATTTTCTAATAGTTAGGGTCTATAAATTCAAAAAAAGAAATAATTTATGAAACTATTAGTTATATGGTGAAGCCAATAATATACTGATAGAAATATTTCCAGAAAAAAGAATGAAATTTTGTGAACTAATAAAAGAATATCTGTTAGAAAACATTTTTAATGCTGATAAGATGGGGTTATATTTTCATATAGCACTATACCAGATACTTTTATCACAACTACGACCAGGATGAAAAAAGGTTTTTTTTTATATACAAGTTTAAGGGGAGTACCAGAAATCACATAATTCATATCATGAATACATAGTCAGTAGGGTGTCCAAGATTATGATTCGGCATAATATATACATAATTTGCAATTTTTGCTATATGAAATCGCATAATTCGCTCACTTTCATACAGTATGTGTAGTATATGACACAAAAATTGATTGGTTAAATGAATAAACCAGTGACTATAATCACCTGACTTGTCATATTTTATTGGCTAATAACTCAAAATTCGCATAATTCACATAATTTGCAATTTACCAGATGCATAATTTGGCATTTACTGGATCATAATTCTGGATACCCTAATGATCAGATAAGAGATCATGTATATATATATATATATATAATATAATATATAATCAAATATAATAAAATATATAATATATAAAATTATATATATATTTTAATAAATCTTTAATATTAAATAATTTTTGATTTACTGGTCCGATTTGGATGATTTAACTGTCAAAATGTTAGTTTTGATGAGACGATTCTAATGAATCCAAAATCGCTAAAATCCAATTACAGGATCCTGAGATCATTAAAGTTTCTTGTGGTATTTTGTATATAATAAAATTAATTTTATTATATACGAAATAGTACAAAAACCTTAATGATCTCAGGATCCTGTAAT